GGGGGGGGGGGGGGGGGTCCTAAAAACCTATACTAGAAAATTACCATTTTCTTCTCTGATGTTACTATAATCATGGATCAACTCTCTGATAAAGCGGCACACTAGAGAGATTGCTGAACCCAGACCAATTACATCCTACTTTTCATTAACTTGGACCACTGGGAAACTTATTTTGGTGTTTCTTCTTGCATTTTTGACATATAATTGTAAGTACTGTAGTTTTCACGTTCATAATTATTCATTTTTATTTCTTGTGCAATGATAACGTTCAATCTGCTTATACCTGCAATTCGATCTCGGGGTCTCAAATATTATTTTTGTAATCAATGATATTATGATTATCGATAAGAAGTTGAACCTAGTCGAATCAGTTCAATCGTGCACATGAAAAGTGGTTCAATTACTTTTCTCTATTCATAATATTTGAACCATGCTCTACCAAATAATTTTTTTTTAAATTCATTTTTAGAACTGAAAGCGTATTCCTCTGTAATTGACGCGCTTCGCGCTGGTGGGGACCTGACAGAGGATTCAAGCGCGTTGCTTACCCAGCTTCGAAGCGCACTTTTTATCTCCCAAGATCGTCATAAAACTGAGATAAGGCGCGCAATCAATAATGAAATCCTCAACACTGTATCTGAAAGGTAATTCGTTATTTGAATAATGCCCCCCCCCCCCCCTCATTGTTTTTGAATTTAACACATTGGGTTTTGGAAATATGTACTTAACTATGCTATTGTTAAATAAACATTTTTAAAACATGAAAAAATGTTTCCCAAGTTTTTGCGACGCGACCAATTTCTGTTGATTTGATAGTTTGATGCTGCATGGGTCTATTTTAATCATCCACCCCTGGGCCATGACTGAACACCTTATTGTAAATAAAATGTTAAGACAGGTTAAAATATCCGCATAATCATTCAACAGAATAGGGGTTGTCAAATGTCCTTGTTTTTCAAAAAAAAAATGTCGTCAACTCCCTTCTATCTTTTTTATTTGGAATGGAACTAATCACGGACATTTTCTATTTTAGTTAATTTACATAAATAGACATCTATAGAAACCCTAAATGCTATATAGTTCTCAGATTTTTTTCAAATAATATCTTGCAAATCTTTTAAACCACTCTTTGAACGGAGTTTTCTGTAATTGGGTTAACAATCACTTTTATGAATAATAAATATGAAACCTATTCTTTAGGTTTAAAATAACTATTTATAACCCTACTGGTTGAAGAGAGGCAAGGTAAAAAGTTGTTGAGCCAAAAACTGTTCTTTTTCGAGAGGGTTCGAGACTTGATGAGATATTTAACCAGAGCGTAGCGAGGATTAAAAATCTCATCAAAAATGTAGAGAAAAGGAATAAAGAAATGTTTTTGGCGAAAATACTTGACGAGCCCTCTTCAACCCTAGGGTTTTAGATAATTTTATGCCTTGGAAAATATTAAGAAATATAAAGAAATATGAATTTAAATGTTAAATCTATCAAAATAAATAAATACACAAAAATGGCACGTCAATTATATAACATGTAATATAAAGTTTAAACTTTTAAAAAGTACATATTAAAGAAAATTCCAAATATTAACGCTGGAAGATGATCATTCATAAAAATATATATGGGTTTCAGGATATGTTCACCATAGATTGAAAAGAGACCACCCAGGGCATAAATATGATTTTATATGATTTTTTAACCTTTTATTCCATGAATAATAATATTTGTTAAGTTTCCTTGAACTGTAAACATGTGTTTTTTTCCTTTCTTCAAACTGAACAAAGAAATGTAAAAGTGTTAGATACATGAATCATGATTATTTTTATAGAAGGTAATTGTTCTTTGGCAAGAAAATACAGGGGGGGGGGGGAGTACGGGATGTATTTAGTGACAAATGAGAAATTGGTAAAATCTCTTCGGTAAAAATGAGTAAAAATAGTACAAAGATTGGTAAAACGTTCATGATGCATATCAAAGCTTTGATCAAGTGAGACGCCAATTCCCTGGCCTTTTACACAGTTTTTTTTTTCATTAAAATTCATTAAATTCGTTAAATTCCAGAAAAATCAGATTTTTTATTTTAAGCCGTTTTCTTATTTCTATTATCATCCTCTTTTTAACTGTTTATACTATACGTTCCCGTAAATTTCATTTATTTTCTTTAAAAAACTTTAATTTAAAGACAAATCTGATTTTTTAATTCTAAGCCTTATTCTTAGTTTTATTGACATCCTCTTTTATAACAGTTTTATCATATTCTTTTCCTTTAACTTAATTTATATTTTAAAAAAACATTAGTTTGCAGTCAGATTTTTGATTTTTTGCCTTATTGTTATTTTTATAGACATCCTCTTTTATTGCATATCAGTTTATATTTGTTCCTTTAAAATTCATTTATCTTCTTTAAAAAAACGTTAAATATCATAAAATCAGATTTTAGTGTCTTAATCTTATTTTTTTTTTTTTGAATTTTAAGTTTGAAGTTTACTCAATAGTATGGACATCCTCTTATTCTGTATTCTCTTATTTCTCTTATATTACAGTCTATTATATTCGATCCAATAAAATATATTTGTTTTCATCAAAGAAAAATATAAATTCATGGAAATTTAGAATTTTGCTTTTTAAGCCGCTCGAAATAAGCTTTAAAATCTTTAACATAATATTTGATATTTAATAAAACCAGCTGAATAAAACCTTAAATTATCGACAATCGTGTTTTATACATCTAATACTGGGGAAAATCGCTGTTTATTATCGTTTTTTAACATAAAGAACCCGTGGCAAGTAAGACATTTTGTAATATCTCTTTCAATATTAATAGCAGCCGGTTCTATTTTTGAATGTAGACTCATATAATTTGTTAGGAGCAGGATATGAAGTCAGATTGTCGATATCTCTTTCCGGAGTCTTGGAACCTCTGACCTCCGTCGGCTCCGATTTTTAATCTCCGGCCTCGTTGGACATAAATAGCCCATTTTTTAAATATATACTCTCAATGACCTCTAAAATACACAAAAAAAAATTATTTTATTTAATCAAGTTTTTGATGTCAAAGCAGGGTGTTAAAAATTGCGTTTTTTATTTTTTTTAATTGCAAAAAATGACAAGTTCTGATAAAAAATATCATTGTTTTATCTTTTTACCGTAAATTCGCTTAAAATAATTTTTATATATTTGATAGTATATAAATATATATATTTGATACTATTTTTATATAATTCGCTGTACATTATCACTGTATTAATAAAGTATTTATTTCAGGGTTGCCGGCCCGGACCAAAGTGATGAATGGAAAAGAGAAGGAAGAAGAATTATTCCCCTTCTCCCTCGGGCTCCGCCCATCACCGGTTATAAACAGATCGCAGATGCGGGTAAAGACGACCTCTCCTCTTTAAACAAAGAGCTTCCTCCGCCCTGGGAAACTAGGACGGTTGGACCTCTCCCACCCCTTCTCCGGGAGATTAAAACTCCGTCGGAACCTGAATTTTTAAAACCCGAGCCGGTTGAGCTGAACGGGTCTGTCAGCCCAATAAAGACAGAGATCAAGGTTGAGGATGAGGATGAGGAGGAGACGGGTCTAGTGTTTCTACCCAGCGGGATGGCGGTCAGACTCACAGAGGACAAAAGTCAAATTGGGAAAAAAGGCGGGAAAAGGAAAAGATCAATATCTAAATCAATAGAAATTTTCCCTAAAGGTGTTCCTATTTTGAGCCCCAACGGGCGGAGAGAAAGTGTTTCTTCTCCACCGCGGAAGATAACCTCGCCTCTGAGTCCTGTTCATCAGGCTGGGCACGGATATGCCCGCCCACCTCCAAGTGCCCCAGCTGCTAACTCCCCTACAATGTCTCCACCCAAAAGTACCGAGGCTCAACTGTTCTCTCCTCCTAAACGAGGTCCCGGTCGTCCTCCCGGTTCATCCTCTCCTAGCGTCGGCCGTGGTCAGGGTGCAGTGAGAACGCGAGCTCCGCGAGCATCTCGGCCCCGAGGACCGCGTAGCAGAGGTCGAGGACTACGAGCCTCTGCTCCTTTACAACACAATGTGCCTGTATCCATTACTCAATCACCATTAGTACAAGGACCAACTGGTCAACCTATTTTTACTCCGGTACACCCCGGAGCTAGACCATTCAGAACTTCCACGCCTAAACTATCCGGTCTTGCGCAGAAACAAGGTTATTCCCAGTTAAACAGTTTACCTCTCAGCTCGGCTGGATTGGTTGGTTTGACTCAGGTATTGAGTCAAACTTACCCTCAGGACCTCTCAACAACCTCTTCTGAGGCTAAACCTAACCTCCAGAACTCTCAGTCTACTATTGGATACTTGCAGGCTCAAAATCTATCTTCCCACGATTTCTCCACTTTTGCTTCTCAAGGTGGAAGCCAGCTCACCTCCCTATCAGTTCCCCAGCTCTCAGGGCTAACCCAGATACCAGCACAGTTCACACAAACTCGGGAACAGTTCTCTACTCCAGTCTTGACAACCCTTCCCTCTCAGGGAGCTCAAACCAACCACACTCTTCATCTCTCTAACTCCGGGAGCTCCAATCCCAGTTTACATCTCTCAAACCAGAGTTTTTCTCATTTCTCCAGTTCAGGATTGAAAGTTATCTCCCACTCCGGAGCTAAGATTGTTCCTAAAGCCGGTGGAACGGTTTATGTAGTTCCCGGAAACACTCAGAGATTACTCTCCCCTGCTCCGCGTCTTGTAACAGTTACCAGTGGTACTCCTCGGCTTGCAACCATAGCTTCTACCCCTGGGGTATCCAGTGTCATAAGAACCATCAGAACCTCATCCTTTCCTGGCTCTAATAAATCCGTTATTGTCGTTCAGAAGTCTGGCCCCACTAGTATCCGTGGATCCAGGCCTAGCACTGTAGCTTTGTACCGACCTGCCCGGGGCGGAATTCCGGTTTCCCGGGGGATTTCATCAGGAATGGTTCGACTTCCATCCTTCCCCCGTCCTACACTAATCCGACAACAGAGTGCCAATGGTAACCTGTATTTGGTTGAGTTGGGACAGGATTCGAACCATCAACAAACCATGTTACCGAACTCTCTGATGACCAGTGAACCCGGAGCTCCAACCTTACAGAGAATAATATCCAAACCTATTTCCAGCTCTAAACCAATGCCTATAGTTATTAGTTCAAGTTCGCAAACATTATCGAAGAAGATTTTGCATGATGGCGGTGGAAACCCGGAGCATGAACCTGAAACCTGGTTCCAGGCTAAGGATATTCCCGGAGCCAACCCTAAACCTACTCCGGATACAAAGAGGAGCTCAGTGAAAACTGGATTATCGGAGCTGGAAGACGGAAACATGACAAAATATTCTGATATATTCAGTCTAGCACTAGAGCAGGCGAATATACCTGCAGAGAACAATATTGCTCCGGAGTCCCATAAATCCTTATCCTCGAGTACTGGTAGGTTTGTGACTCTCCCAGCTCGGGGGAACTCCGTCCAGCTTCTCAAAAACGAGTCTTCGGTTCCTGTCTCTGGGTCCTTGGTTTCTAACTCAGGAACCCTGGTTCATACTTACGGGTCTTTAGTTCAAAACTCTAGCTCCCTGGTTTCTGGGACCCTATTGTCCAACTCTGGGACTCTGGTTCAGAACTCTGGAATCTTAATTTCTAAATCCGGGTCTCTGGTTCTCAACTCTGGAACCCTAATGTCTAACTCAGGTATCCTGGTTTCCAACTCTGGGTCCCTAGTTCCTGTCTCCGGATCTGTTGCTCCGATATCGGAGAACCAACCTAAATTCATACCTGATGCCCAGTCTTTGTCCAACCTTGCCATGAACGAGATTATTCAGGAGAATATTTTAGATTCTCCGTCTTAATTTGACAACAGTTAGTATTTTTTCACGTGATTATTATTTTGTTTATTTTAGAACAAAGTGTGTTTCCCGCGTTATTAGATAACAGTTTTGTGCCGGAAACACTCAGTAGCCCTTAAATATTGATATTGTTTACTCAGTAGCCCTTAAATATTTTTCTAGTTCAAACTTTATTTATTCTTTAAAGATAATGCGGAAAGAAAGTAAAATGTTTTATCGAAATCAAACTTGTATTCCTCAAATTTGAGATTTCTACAACTTATTTTTTTATTTGTCCAATTCTAAGCAGAATAAACAAACTAAAATTGAATATTTATGCACCTCTGAAATATTTAAAAGTATTCGGCCTTAACCTTATTCTTGAACACCCTAGACATGTACAGTACATAATATATAAACTTTGAATTTCGGACTTGTTTAAAAATATATTTATTGTGAAGTTGTAAACATGCAGACTATGTATTGTAAAACTTAAGTATCTAAATTATTATTTTTCTTAATGTCATACAAAATTAGTATTTTCCTCTTTATATAATATATAGTTGATAATACACAGCAGGATGGAAATTTACTTGTTTTTAATTTTTTATTTCTGTTATTCCTGAAAGCTAGTTACTTAAATCCTTTAATCCCTTAAAGCCTGTAATTCCTTCAAGTCTGTAATCCTTTGAAAGTCAGTAATCCCTTAAAAGTCAATAATCCATTAAAGGCAGTAATCCATTAAAGGCCAGTAATCCATTAAAAGCCAGTAATCCATTAAAAGCCAGTAATTCCTTGAAAGCCAGCAATCCCTTAAAAGCCAGATAATCCCTCTCTTGCTAGAGCTTGAGCGTTGGGCACAGGATTGAGAATGCATAATATTCCTTTAGTTTTAAAATCAAAAATTTTTACTTTTTAGAAAACACGTGGTATAAAAAATTTTCAGGCTTTTTATGTAAGAAGACTTAGAAGACTTTTTGTTTAATTTTCCCCTTTCTTAAACACTAAAACTTAATTTCTCTGATTTCCCTTCCCGCATTTGAAATATAACAGATAATGCCGGTTTTTAAATTCAGTTTGTGTCCGATAGATGGCTCTGTAAAGAAATAGTAGTTCCACGACCTAATGCATCCATAGATACATGTAAATATATTTAAATACAGATCTACACTGGTCCTTAATTGTAAACATAACTTATCAATCAGGAATTATTCCTTGTGTTGAAATGTCCCCGCCATAATAAGAAATGTATTCCGACATTTTTATATTATTACTCACATTTATTATGTGATTTGGATTTATAAATAAACATCTATGCATTATTAATCTATTTTTTTATTGTCAAGCAGATTTATTATTTTACTGCTCTAAACTTTATGTAGCAACCATTTTTTGTCATTTTTATAATTATAATAATAATAATTATAATTATAATCCGTTTGTTCCAATAAAATGCAGTTAATGAATACCACAAAAAGTTGATCCACTAAATACTTCCAAATTAATGTATTTGACATTTTTAAAATTGTTTCGTACGGATTTTACCGATTATGACGTTTTTGAACTCAGGTTAAAACGGTATTGTTTATACCCATCGGGCCATTTTACTATATTTTGATAAACATGATGCGCTGAATGATTTTGAAAATTAGGCAAAATAATTATTTTTAATAAATCTGAAAGGATCTGAATAAGTGTGAATTGGTTCCACCTTGAGAGTCATGAGAGTGAGAAAATCAAATGAAAGAAATGATTAAATTCGTTTTATTTTAGATTTTCACTACCAATTAGAGTGAAGAATAAAACTAAGAGGGGAAAAGTTGGCCGGGGGGGGGGCATCTGAATGTATTAATAAGAATAATAAATGTCCACACTTTTTCCAGACATTTCCTATATTGAAAGTAATGTTAAAGATTTATACTATAAAATGCAGGGTTAACTTAAACTACAGGGTGTACCAAAAAACATGGGAATTCAGTAACGAATTCGATAGCGTCTTTGTTATGAATTAGCATTGTAATACCTAATTTCAAAATCTATAAAATTATTATGTCTGCTAGAGTTTATTTTATGAAAAGGGTAAAAGACTGCGAAGTTGTGTCTATAATGTCTCCGCAAGATAAACAATGAAGATGGACAAGTTTACACTGTTTGTATACTGTAATTTTCATGTTTTACTAAGTAAAACCGTATGCAGTAAAAACATAAACAAACATAATGTGAACATAGCAGACGAAACTCTTACAGATTACAGCTTTCTCAGTGGGTATCACACTACTAAATCTAAGAATTCTTTGTAAAGACGATTTTGAATTCGTCACTGAATTCCCATGTTTATTGGGACAACCTGTACCTTCAAAGGATGAGACTGTAAAAACGACCCAAAACCCCAAATATGTGATCGATGATTTGAAGCTTGATTTTTTACTTCTGCATTCAAATGAGTATTTTGATGGTTCACTAAACGATTAAGCACGGAAATTAGCCAGTTTTGAGAGTTATGACCTGCAAGGAACTTTGAATTTAAGAAAATGGATTAAACAATTTCCGTAAAATTGTCTCTTGAGGTCTCATTCTTTGTGGGTCTTTTATTAAACTCATCTATTTTCTTGACCCAGGGGCGGCGGGGCCTGACTCATAGGAATCAGGGGTTTGCGACGTTTATTAGATTATGTAGGTTTTCAAGAAAACTGTCTGTTGTTTAAACTTTGTGTGAGGGGCAGGAGCTCCTAGATAGTTTCAATTGCTCTCACGAAAGAACGTTTATGCTTTTACCAGGGTGAAGAGAAAAATAAGTTATTTTGCCAAATAAGGATATACAGTGTTATCCATAAAGAATGAGACTGTAATGACGACCTAAAACTAAGAATACGATGATTTGAAGCTTGTTTCTGCATTCAATTGAGTATTACTAAATGATAAAGCACAGGAATAAGCCAGTTTTGGCCTGCAAGGAACCCTGAATGAAAGAAGAAGACTAAAAAAACTCACTAAAATCGTCTCTGCAGACCCATCCTTTTTGGGTAACCCTGTACTACAATCACTAAACATATTAATCTCATTTGTTGATACATGATCCCCCTTTCGCCGTTGGGATTAGCGTGCAGATCAATCCCCGAACTGATCAGAAATTTATCTTCCCTGTAGCCAACGGGTTTGTTATTATAAAACGCTTTTCTGGTTTGCAACTTTAGAGGAATTTTTTACTACAATGTTAAAAATCATTCAGGGTATTTCAAACCCAACGTTCCTTGCCAAGGAAAAACACATATTTGACTTATTTTTGTTCAGCTCGTTCAGTAGTTGTGATACATGATGGGATATAACTTGTTTTTTAAAAATTTACAAATTTCAAAATTATTTATTCCAAACATTTGCCCTTACGTGACCATGTAAAATCGAGAGAAAATCTTATGCAAAAACCCTTTTTTGGTTCGTTTTCCCTTTAAATTTTCTCTTAGCATAAAAATATTGCAAAGTTTATTAAAAGCAAACTTTTGCAGAATACAGTTTTGAAATATTGGAATTTCACAGTAATTGTGTGGCAAAGTGAAAAATATTATTCACCTTGTTTGGATGCCTTTAAAAAGTTCAAAACCCTTAAAAACGAACCAAATAATTTCCCATCATTATTGTGATATAAACAGACCAAGAGCCTGCAATATTAATGTGTTCCAAAAAGTATTTAAAATTCCCTCTGGTCTATTCATAAGGCTGCCTTTTGTTAAACTGAAAGGCCTTGACTTTAATAAAAAAAATCTTTTGTTTCCAACAATATTTAAATACAAGAAAAAACATTAGGCGTTTACATATTTAATAATAAGTCGAAGAAAGGAAAACATCTATACCTGAAAAATGAAAAGCTGTATTCAAGTTGTAGCTCTTCTGGGACTATGGTAAGAATATTAATTTATAGGTCTCTCACTTAGATTTCATATGATGCGTTTTACATTTCCGGCTTTTTCAGTTCTTGAATTCGTGAATTTTTAAACATCTAAAACTGTAAAAATCGGTTGAAGGCAAATAGATTATCAAGTACAATAGGTGGCAACAGAGAAATGAAATACACAACGTCACAAGTGTCAAATACAACAAGGAAAACAAAATTGTCTCACATTAGTTGACATGTTTCCAAGATTAATAAAAAAGTGTAAAAACAGAGACTAAAGAACACATAAAATTGAACTTATTATACCGTAAGAAAAGCACTTTATTCTAAAATTATCACTATTATTGATAATTTTGTCAGACACAAAAACTGAATTGACACTTATGACGACAGAATACAACTGTACTGAGAGTGTACAAATTCTACATTGCCATCTATTGTACTTAACAATCTATTTGGTTGAAGGTTATGTTTTTTATTTAATTCTTAACTCACTTAACTTAAATTCCTTTACACTTTACAGAGGTACCCTTAAGGATGAGACATTTGAGCATGTACACTGCGCAGTTTTGATTATGTTTAGTGTGTACTGTACTGCAGCTCCATAAGTACAATTCTCCTTGTAATGCTAAAGTACAATATGTTAAGGGTGTACTGTATAACAACAGCTGTTGAGTATACAATGCAGAATGCTCTATGTAGTGCTAAAGTATAATATGTTAAGGGTGAACTATAACTGCAGCGGTCAAGTACAATTCTCTTTGTGATGATAAAGTACAATATGTATATTTGGATGTACTCTACTATAGCTTTTGAGTAATGCTTAATGTGATTTTAAACACAATACGTTACGGATGTAATGTACTGCAGCTGTTGAGTACAATGCCTTATGTGATGATTAAGTACAATATGTATGTTTAGGATTTACTGTACTATAGCTGTTGAGTATAATGCTTTTTGTGATTTTAAACACAATACGTTACGGATGTAATGTACTGCAGCTGTTGAGTACAATGCTTTTAGTGATGATAAAGTACAATATTTATGTTTAGGATGTATACTGTATTGCAGCTGTTGAGTACAATGCTTTATATGATTTTAAACACAATATGTCAAGGATATTCTGTACTACAGGAATTATGTGATGACTTAGTACAGTATGTATGTTTAGGATGTACTGTATTGCAGCTATTGAGTACTATTCCTTATGTTCAGGATGTACAGTATGTTGTGTATTATGCTTGATGTGATGACTAAGTAGAGTATGAATGTTCAGGATGTACTGTACTGAGGCTGTTGTATAAATATTCTCTTTGTGCTGCTAAAGTACAATATGTTCAGGATGTACTGTACTGCAGCTGTTGTGTAAATATTCTCTGTGTGCTGCTAAAGTACAATATGTTTAGGATGTACTAGCTGCAGCTGTTGTGTAAATATTCTCTTTGTGCTGCTAAAGTACAATAAGTTCAGAATGTACTGTACTGCAGCTGTTAAGTAAATATTCTCTATGTGCTGCTAAAGTAAAATATGTTTAGGATGTACTGTACTGCAGCTGTTGAGTACAATGCATTATGTGCTGCTAAAGAAGAATATGGGGAGTGGGGTGCATGGGGACCATGTAAAAATCAACTTCAGGTTATTTTCTTAGTTTTTTTTGTTTGAATTACTCATGTGAATTTGTTCTCTTTCTTAGCTGTCAGTCTGTTATTAATTTTTTTAAACGTTTCTACGTTTTTTAACGTTTTCTTTGGCACCGTGTTATCTATTTTTTCTGTCCATGATGTCAATTTCATCGTCTGAACAGCATCTATAAACTCTGAAATCATTATTTTAAACTCGAACCCGTCCTGCAGTATCCAGCCAACAGCAAACATGTTTATTTTAGGACCCAACCCATCCTCTAGTATCAAGCCAACAGCAAACATGTTTATTTTAGACCCGAACTAGTCCTGTAGTATCCAGCCAACAGCAAAAATGTTTATTTTAGACCCGAACCCGTTCTGTAGTATCCAGCCAACAGCAAACATGTTTATTTTAGACCCCAACAGCAAACATGTTTATTTTAGACCCCAACCCGTTCTGTAGTATTCAGCCAACAGCAAACATGTTTATTTTAGACCCGAACCCGTCCTGTAGTATCCAGCCAACAGCAAACATGTTTATTTTATACCCCAACCCGTCCTGTAGTATCCAGCCAACAGCAAACATGTTTATTTTAGACCCGAACCCGTCCTGTAGTATCCAGCCAACAGCAAACATGTTTATTTTAGACCCGAACCCGTCCTGTAGTATCCAGCCAACAGCAAACATGTTTAAATGATGCTGATGCTAGTAAGTTATTTTTTATCGAGCTGGGTTTACCAATATACAAGGTACTGCAAAAATCTAAGATGTTTTGCAAATTTCTAAATTGCTTATTTTAATTATTTGCTTTTCTCACAATATGCCAAATCTTAACCTTAAGAAACAAAAATAATCTTGTTAAAATTAATGAACAGAAGAGAAGTATAGTTTAACTTCATCTATCCAGGGGTCAATATAATTCCTTTTTCAATTCCATTTGGGATTGACAAATTTGAAAGAAATGGGGGCAAACTGTTTAATTGGGGGCAAATTTTTTTAAATGATAATTAGGGTACACACTACACAGTACACACTATGCATCTATACTGTGGAGGTTATCTATAGTCTGAGATCTAGGGTACACACTACACACTACGCATCTATACTGTGGAGGTTATCTATAGTCTGAGATCCAAGGTACACACAACACACTACCCATCTATATTGTGGAGGTTATCTATAGTCTGAGATCCAGGGTACACACTACACACTACGCATCTATACTGTGGAGGTTCTATAGTCTGAGATCCAGGGTACACACTACACACTACGCATCTATACGGTGGAGGTTATCTATAGTCTGAGATCCAGGGTACACACTACGCATCTATACTGTGGAGGTTATCTATAGTTTGAGATCCAGGGTACACACTACACACTACGCATCTACACTGAGTATTGATGATTTTTTTCTCCAAGGTTTGGGATCAGTTCGGAGGCTATTGAGCATGCTGAGCGGAGACCGTTTAGATGAGTTCCTGAGGAATGCCTATTGCGTCTAAGTTACTGAGGAATGCCTACTGCGTCTAAGTTCCTGAGGAACGCCCACGGCGTCTCATCAATTCCACGCAGAACAATTTTAAGACTGTTTCAATTTTTATTGTATGGCACGGACATTGTATGAATTTTAGCATCAACATATTTTTACAATAAAAACATCGTATTAATTTACAATTTACATATGGTACAATACAAAGTTTTTTTTTACAATGAGTAAGGAGACAAATGAGAGGTAAAAAACAATAAAAAAAAATGTGAAATAACTAACTTTTTTAAAGCTCTAAAGTAAACTTCTTAAATTGCAGCTTTGCAATTTTTAGTTAAATATTGCAGAAGTTGTCCCTTTAATACCAAATATGCAGGATTATCTATACAAGGGGTAAAACTTTTATGATACAGTGAGAACATTATTTTTTTGGAATAGAAAGACGACTTTTAGACTCAAGTTATGACTTTAAATAATCTGATAAACATGAGCCACATTGTGCAATGTAAACAGACCCATTTCACTTAATAATTGATTTTATAATTTACTAGTGTTATAGTGCCGTTTTCTTATACCACAGTTTTCTGGTTTTCAATGTATGACATTACATTTGGTTAATTATTTTTTTCAATGAATAAGCTTTTTGTGTAAAGTATAAAGAGTTACCCTACAGAGTCTACAGAACACCGTTCACCTCAGCTATGAAGTAGGTTTAAAAACAGATACACCTGAGATTATTTCGGATTCTGAAAGTAAACAATGTCTAGAACTAGCATGTAGATTTTAGAAATCCCTGGCGGGCCTTTTTTGAGAAAATTCCACGTAAACTTTCTTGTATTGTTAAGACTGAAAAAAGGTGTGTTGACTCAAAAGTTTTCATGAGATTATTAATTTGAGCGTTCCTGCTTAATTATTATCATCATATGATTAATTTATCAAGGTAGAATTAACACACCGGAAGAAGACAACCATATAAACAATTTTTTATAGGGTTTAAACCTCAAATGATTAAAAGTTAAGCACATTTTGATATATAAATGTAGTTTGCTCTACCATTCGTCTGTAGAGGCTGAAATGAGGTTCAGACACTTTTTAAGAAATACCTTGAATACACTGAAATGTTTTGTTAAGTGGTTAAATATTTTAGAGCTCATTAACCAGGCAAAGCTTTTTTGAACCACTTAACAAAACAGTTCAGTGTATTCAGGGTATTTCATAGAAAGTGTCAGAACCTTTTACATTTCAGCCTCTATAGACAAATAGTAGAGAAAACAAGATTTACACATATAAAATGTTCTTAAATTTTTAACATTTGAGGTTTAAACCCTATAAATCATTTTTTTCGCTTTCTTCCAATTCTACACCGATCAATTTATTATATGATGATAATAATTAAGCAGAAACGCTCAAATAAATAATCTCATGAAAACTTTTGAGTCAAACACCATCTATCAGTCTTAACAATACAACAAAGTTTAAATGGCATTTTCTCAAAAAAGAGCCCAACAGGGATTTCTAAAATCTACATGCTAGTTCTAGACATTGTCTACTTTCAGAATCTGAAATAACCTTAGATGTATCTGTTTTTAAAACCTACTTCATAGCTGAGGTGAATGGTGAGAAAGAGATTAGGAAAACATTGAGTATTTGAGAAAATCAAAATAAAGATGTCAAATGGCATTTCCAAATGAACAAATTAATTTGAACTTTAGGTGTATGCAATCAAGAAAAACTTAGAATTTCACCAGAATATTCCTGGCACATAGTATTTGTCTTAAAATCTCATGATAAGCTTCTTTAATCTTTTAATTGTTCGGATAAAACAACGGTATAAATAGTGTGTACAACAGTGTAAATATCCTGAAATTTTGAATAGCTCTTTGCTTGAACACTAGACGTTTCAAAAATACGTTATTTTAGAATTTTCAATTCTAGATTTAGAAAAAATTTTCCGTTTCATCAGTAAGTTCTTTTAATATTATACATTAGTACCTTTGGCACGATTTTACATTTCAGTAATATGTTATATTATATATGCCATTTCTTTAATAAGTCCATGGAACACTGTTATGTTTTAGCAGAAACGTTTCAAAATATTTGCATGTTGTCAAAATTCAGTTGGAATATAGAATAGATTGTTGTCAAGTTCCAGATAGTGCCTTGTCATAATATAGCACCATCTTTTGTAACGTTCTTGAAATGGCTGCCAATTGTCCTTGCAACAATGTCACGTTTCAGAAGTACGTTCTCATTATATCCGCAATAAATCTTTGGAACTTTGTCACGTTTCAGTAGTACGTTCTCATAATATCTGCCATCTGTCCTTGGAACATTGTCACGTTTCATATTACGTTCTCTTAATATCCGCCATCTGTCCTTGTCATTTTTCAGTAGTACGTTCTCATAATATCTGCCATCTGTCCTTGGAACATTGTCACGTTTTTCAGCAGGCTTTCTCCGAGCTAAAAATGAATACATTCACTTTGAGATACATCAGACTTGATACAGGGTGTCCCAATAAACATGGGAATTAAGTGACGAATTCGATATCGTCTTTTTAAATACTTCTTTGATTTAGTTTAGTGATGCCTACTGAGAAAGCTTTAATCTGTAAGAGTTTCGTCTGCTATGTTCTCATTTTGTTTGTTTATGTTTTGACCGCATACGGTTGTACTTAGTAAAACAAGAAAATTCCAGTACATAAACAGAGTGGACTTGTCCGTCTTCACTGTTTATCTTGCGGAGACATTATAGATACATCTTTACAGCCATTTACCATTTTCATAAAATGAACTTTAGCAGACATAATAATATTATGGCTTTTGAAATTAGGCATTACAATGCTAATTCATAACAAAGACGATATCGAATTCGTCACTGAATTCCCATGTTTTTTGGGACACCCTGTAGCTCATGTCGTCTTCACCACACTAGAGTGTTTTAGCTTAAATCAAAAATATGAATTTAGCTTTGAGCCCATATTATCCATTTTAATCGAATCTCTTAAATCAAAATCTACAAAATGTTAAGACCCCAAAAAGGAAACTCGAGAGTTTTGTTCACCGATACTCTTTTAAATTTCGGGCTCTGGCTGCGTAAACAATCTATTCTAATGTATCTAGGATATAACTATAACAAAGGGTTTGTCAACCAAGTCTGGGGAACATTTTAGTTAGCAAGGAATGGTTTGCTGGTAAAGAAAAAAATAAAACCTATCGACGTGGTCATTATCATAAAGTTTTAATTGCTAAAAAGATACTTTTATTTATTTGACCCATTTAAACTTCGCATTTAGAACAAGTCTATCACTCTCCACTAAACACTACTATATCTTCGGTCAGTGTACTTCAAATTACAGCAAAACGCAGCGAAAGCTTGAGTGAGACTGCTAGGGAAAACGGCCTATGTCCAATGAATTATCTTGTATTATTTTCGACTTACTTTAATAATATTATTTGCCGTGTTAAGGAACTTTTCAACAGGTCTATCCTCCAGAACAAAAAGTGGAATCACCATCTCATTACCAATCCTGGAAACAAAGACTATTTATAAAATATTCAACATTTCGAGTGTTTTCTAATTTTGTAATTTTCCTGATATTTATCGTTTTTTTTTCATCCTTTATTAAACAAATTCATTGTGTACATTTGTTTTTTAAACTATTTTGTAACGGTAAATCACGACATAACGTTTTCAATTTAAAGTTTGATAGATTTTAATTGAAAAATCATAAATGTAACAATGTAACTGTACTGCCAAACAACAAAAACTAAACACTTGTACAATAGCGTTGTACTGTAAGATTATTATAATTTGAGAACCTTATATCAGAGTTGTAAATTAATAAATGAGAGAGAGAAAGGTATAGGAAGGTTATCTCCCGTTTGGTCGTAAATTACGATTTTAGCTATTTTTCCCTCTGAAAGTCGACCTACATAACTTTGAATCTCAAAACAAACTAAGAACACTCCCGAGTTTCAAATCAACATTTGAGGCAAATCGGTCAAGGGGTTCCTGAGTTACGACCGGACATCCAAACGAAGATTACTACTTTATACTTATAAAGATTGTATACCTGGACATTAGAGCCTTCTCCACCTGCCTCAACACCTTCGCGGAGGAGAAAGGGAGAGACCTGAATAAGATCTAGGTTGCAAATTTTAGTTTTAGTTTTTACGTCTCCATCTTTGCGAAATATCAGAGGGTTTTGCTTGTTTTGATGTCAAATTTAACTTGAAAATCAAATTATTTTTATTATTTATTTTATTTTATTAATTTGAATGAGCAAGATGCCTATTTATTCAGGCTCTTGTTTTGTTGGAAACTTACTTTTTTGAAGCACCTCTGAGCTCACTCCAGAGCAATCGTTCTATGAGTCCACAGTAGGAGAACAGTGTAACTCCCATTATCTAGAAGATTAACAGAAATTGTATATTTATGTTATGTTTCAGGTTTTTAAAACGAAGGGTTAGAAAAGTTTTTACCAAATGAGGATACAACATTTTTCAGATTTAAAATATAATTGATAGATTTGGTCGATCCAAATATTAAAAAATATTTTTGAGCTCGTCTTTATAGATCATTATTTTTGTTGATACTTTTAAATAAACGGATAACAATTCATTTTTCAAAGAAAAAAGCAATTAAATTGATAGATGAAGTTTTCTTAGTCTTACCTTCAAATGGCAATTTGATATTTTCAAGGACTCAAGATCCAAAGTGTACAATTCTCCCGCTATAAAAAACGTTTATCATATTATGCATTCAAATGATTATTTCTATTTTTACGTTGTTTCTTTTTTCACAAATAAGTGTACTGTGTACTTATTATTAATATTATACCGAAGTGTACTGTGTACTTATTATTAATATTATACCGAAGTGTACTGTGTACTTATTGTTAATATTATACCGAAGTGTACTGTGTACTTATTGTTAATATTATACCTAAGTGTACTGCAAATTGAATTACAATGTTAACTAAGTATATTGCAAATTGAATTACAAGAAGTGTACTGTAAGTACTGTAAGTGTACTGCAAGTGTACTGCAAAATTTAATAACAATATTACCTTTCTGTACTGTGTACTGAATAAAAAATTACCTATGTGTGCTGAAAATTTAATAACAATATTTATTACCTTTGTGAACTGTGTACTAAATAACAAGATTACCTATGTGTGCTGAAAATTTGATAACATTATTACTCAAGTGTACTGCAAATTAAATTACAATATTTCCCAAGTGTACTGCAAATTGAATAACAATTTTACCTAAGTGTACTGCAAATTGAATAACAATATGAGGAACTGCGACTCCTCTTGGCATCCCCTCTACTTCAGTATAACGAGTATCAAGTCTACAATATCAATAATTACATGTAAACAATGAAATTTTTGTCGTCCTTTCTTATATAATTCATAGCTAAGTATTTCGTAATTTGCAATTAATTCATTTTATACAGTTTTAGAGCTATAACAGTTATAACAAAAGAGAATTACAACATCCGAGAATCCTCATCATCCTTGGCATCCATCTCATATGTTGCAAAGAGAGTGATTTTGATGAAAATAAAACAAGGCTACAAAGCAGGTACTACGAAGAAGAACAGTAGACGTGTGGTAAGTACTGAAAATTATAAAATAAAATCAGCCTTTAAAAGAATGCCTGATTGTATATACCATCTGTGATAAAAAAATTAAAATTGTTATTAAACAATTCATCCATGGCGAATTTTCATAATTCCAATAGAAGAATAAATGAAGACGATAATCATTCCACATTTTTTGGGTCATAATGGACAACTTTACACAAGATTTTTATTCAACTACAAAGCATGTGATATCATAATATCATCCTATGGCAATATTTCCCCCACAAAGGACCAGAATTTAATGACGACCTGGAAATACAATAATGGAAACAATGGAAAAGAGAAAATCATGATTTTTATTCACATTGGGGTATTTATCGTTAAACCCCTGTAGACGCCCATAATTGGCTCTCTGATGAATAATGTGCTAAATTCACCTCATGTTTAGAATAGAAAACTTGAGAGAGAGATAACTTCTAGTTTTAGCTGCAGCGTAGAAATTAACCAGCTTCACCAGTTTAGAAATGCATTTACCAAACACATTCTGGGAACCAGTTATTGAAACCTAAACAAACAAATAGTAATACAGGGTGTTCGTCCAAGGGGGGCTTACATTTTTTCTTTCCAGGGGGGGGCTCAGCACCCGTTGGGGCATGAAAACCTCCTGAAATCAATAGATTTCACTGGTCCTGGGGGGGGGGGCTTAGCCCCAATAGCCCCCCCCCTGAGTACGCCTCTCAGGGTGTCCCAGAATACGCTCTTTTAAACTTTGTATCACTTACCCTGGTTCAGGTTTAAAATCTTTAGAACATTTCCGTTCGATTAAAATCAATTAGAGGTTTTTAGCACAAAAAAATATGACAGCTTGAAATTTTAAAAAATTGAACCATGGTGATTGGTGAGTGCTACAATATCTTAAAGAGCAATTTTAAGAACACCATGTAATTTTTTAAGTTCATACTAAAATTTGTATAACACTTTAATTTGGAATAACAAAAAAAATGTGACAACTGAAACAATAATAATAAAAAAAGGATAAAATCAAAAAATTAATTGTTAAGAGTTAAAACATTTCAATATTTAAGATATGAAATATGAAAAATTAAGAAAACTAAGTTTTTTTGTTTTTAAATAACACAAAACTTTTAAGGATTTGTATTAAAAATCGCAGCTTCTTTTTTTAAGGCTTCAAGGGAGGGGCGTACAATTCGATACTTTGTGACACCAAATTTTGTACATGCTGCGTTTGGTCCTAAAAATTGAGATAGAAGGCTGAAATTTTGTATGCGGCCTCAAATTGTGAGCATCTTCATGGATCAGGAAGAAAATTTGAGATCGGAGGTCACGACCTCCGGGATCATTTGAGGTCAAAAGGGGTCTTCGAATGGAATAAAAACACCAAAAAACCTATGATTTGATACTACACATACTTATTTTCATTGATTTCATACATTGACCTCCGGAGGTCATTGATATCTGGAAGACCTCCGGAGGTCATTGATATCTGGGTGCGACCTCCAGGATCATCTGAGGACAAAAGGGGTCTAAGAATGGAACCGGAACACCAAAAAACCTATGATTTGATACCTAAAATGACCCATTTACATTGATTCAATATTTTGACCTTATTAGAGGGAGGTGAAACTGGAGGTCTGATATATTTGTCAATATCAGCACATGACTTACGTGGTAGCAAAAATATGAAAACCTGTCTGATTAGCTTAAAATTATTGAATTAGAGTAAAAAAACTGGTATTTTTCCGTATTTTCTGAATTCATGGAGGTCAGAATGGAGGGCAATGACCTCCGATCTCAAATTTTCTTCATGATGACATGAGATGACCACAATTCGAGGCTGTATGCAAAAATTTCAGCCTTCTATCCCAATTGTGGCAAGTCTTCAATACTTTTGTAAATGTTTTCTTTATGAATTATTTTTTGTTCGTTTCCGTACCTTCGAGCCGTAGCTGACTCCCATATCAATCCAAGCCGAGGTCACAATATCCAATGACGGAGGTCGACCGTAACCAAAAGCCGGCCCTGCGGTCAAACTCACCTTAATTAAATAATGATAAATTTCATGTTCTTTACTTAAGTTATAGATGAATGCTACTCCGACCCAAAATCCTCGCAGAAGAGAGTTGCAAATCCAAATGTAAAACCGAAAAGATATAAAATAAAAAATGAACAAAAAATAAAATAGGATCTGCACATTTTTACAAAATTGAATAGTGTACTTATATCGTAGTTCATAGTTTAAGGAGCAAGCTCGGGATACGAATGGAACCCGCTTTTATGAATTGCAAGAATTAAAGAGGTCATCGCATATATAAATACAATGAAGACGACTTTCGAACTAGATTTTGATTTATATCAAGCTGTTAAACAGCATGGAGAAGCTGTCCATTAAACAAAAAACTTCTCTTTGATTACTTGGAAACTTGTATTTCGAAAAAATCAAAACTTAAATAAAAAAGCCGTCTTCATCGTATTGATATAATCGCCTATCATTTTAGTAGAACTACGTCGACGTACAGGGTTCCCAACAAATGATTAGACGTTAAAACTGGTCAAATTTGACAATTTGAAAATTTCGGGTTGTGCCTTGAAAATAGTCTTAGAAAGGTTGTTTAGTGATTTTGGAAAGACAAGAAGACGTGAAAGCTATGGAAAGCCATGAATAAAAAACAACGAAAAAATTCCTGTGTTGTTATAACGTCCTGCTGTTGAATCACTTCTCTTGTGTGTCGGTTCAAGTGTATGAGAAGTGGTTCAACTAAGTCTACATAGTTCAACATGAATAAAATCTAATCCCTTGACAGGTTTGGTTTTAGTAAAATCTAAGGATTAAGAAATGTCTGTTACCTGACTAGTTTTACTGATACTAGCTCTACCCTTCCCTCCCTGGAACCTATATCCTAGTCCACATGGATTCCCAAGCTGCATTGGAGGAGATGAGGTCTCCAGTACACCCTCACCACGCTATAATAGAGGGAGTAGAAGGGGCGAAGACGACTTTTAGACTCAATTCATGATTTAAAATAGTTAAAAATATATTAAACACTGCATAATTGCTTTAAAGAATTGCCTATTTCAATTTATTTTCGATTTCTGGTAAAATTATTTGCTTTATATCAACATCAAATATAAAATATACATAAGATTGCTTAAATGTCGTCTTCCTATTCAACAGTTATATTGTTCTCACTGTATTGTATCAGAAAAAATGTCTTACTTTGACATGAAACGTAAACCAGGTGTACATGGCATTGTTGGTCAGCTGATGGGTCAGCCATTGATTTACGTATTTCCGTCTGTCCAGGGGGCGTATTTTCAGCGGAATCCGTTCAGTGTTTGCTAAAATATTATTCAAATTATCTCAGACATTGATTTACAAGACATGATATTTTTTGAATAGTTTAAAATGTCTTCTTCTCAGACATTGATTTACAAGACATGATATTTTTTGAATAGTTTAAAATGTTTTCTTCTCAGAAATTGATTCACAGGACATGATATTTTTTGAATAGTTTAAAATGTCTTCTTCTCAGACATTGATTCACAAGACATGATATTTTTTGAATAGTTTAAAATGTCTTCTTCAATAAGTTCCGTAAAAGAATTGATAACGGACAAATAGTAATTTCGAGTCGAAAGTAATCTCTAAGGTTGTCTCTGATTTTAATAATTTTTCTGTATAAACCTACAAAAAAAATTTAGCTTCATGGATGAAAATTCAAAATTGTATGCGTAGCTTTTTCTTTTGATTGTCCGAGTGGCCAAATTTAGGAATTCATATTTATTCGACAAAATAATCAAAATATATATTTATATTCTTTCTTTTGCAGATCTAAAGATTTACCGTTTTTTTAATTCTAAGGGATTGGCTCTTTAGGTTCGATTAGAATTGATCTATCAAAAAGAAAAAAAAATCCAGAAAATGCATCTGATCTTATTCTTACATAAATAAGTGTTTAATTAAGTAGATCTTTTTGACCTCATGAATGCGTTAGAATTTATTGCATTCCTTGAAATCCAGTATTGACTGGTTATACATTATATTCATTGTGGTTAACAGGGAAGAAGAATGGAGAGGGGCGTATGAAATGTACTAAGGGGGGAGGATACAATTGGAGGGGGGAAGGAGGGAGGGTTGAAATATGAGGGAAGGTAAGTAATTTATCTTGACCCAAGAATTTACAAAAGCAGCCGGAAGCGGTCTATAACATATATTCACAAATACAGGCCTACATTCACAAATACTGGCATACATTCAGAATTACAAACATACATTCATAAATACAGGCATATACATTCATAAATTCAGGGATAAATTCAGAATTACAAAAGACACCCATTCAGAATTACAAACATACATTCAGAAATACAGACATAAATACAGACACACATTCATAAATACAGACACACATTCAAAAATACAGGAATACATTCATAAATACAGGAATACATTCGGAAATACAGGCATACGTTCATAAATACAGGTATACGTTCATAAATACGGGAATAAAGAATAGTGAGTATCGATTTTTGGAATTAAAAAATGTGGAGGTCCACCCCGTTTATTATCTCACACTAAGGTTAACAAGACGCGGGGTAATTTATTTTTAAACTTTATGTCGAAAAAAATTGTATTTGACAGATTTATGGGAACTTAAATTGTTTTCACATACGGTGGTCCTTGGGTAATATATGTATATGTGGTATCCCGTAGTCTTTCCCATTTTTAAGAAGACTGAGAATTAATGGCACAAGTGTGAGTGGTGGGTCTGATTCCTTTCTCAAGTTTAAATTCATTGAAATAATATTTTATTTAAGTTTAACGTAACACAGACATATTTACAATAAGATATGAATAGACCAATAGATACAATTTGACAAGCAGGCATAGTTTAAAAAAATAGAATTAGATAGACAAAGAGATAGATAGATGTTTAGACAGTCCAAGAAGTCCATGATACATAGAAAGACAAAGAATTCACGTAAATGAGGATGTATGCACACTTACCAAACATTTCTTTGACCGGAATATTAACAATAGGTAGAGTGGGGTCACCCATCCGCAATAGGTTTCCTATAATCTTCTCTGTGTCCATCCTTTGATAAGATTTTGTATACTCAAATTCATCTATGTAATGTTTATTCTACTATCTAATCACCTGCCTACATATACACTATACAGCTTTTCACCTACTCATAACGTACCTACCTACCCATAAGTTACCTACCTACCGACCTACCTATCTACATATTTACCTATCTATCTACCTGTCAACCTACCTGCATACCTGCTTAACTACCTACCTACAATCCTTCCTACCTATCTTCCTACCTATTTACCTACCTACTTACCTACCTACCTACCTACCTATCTGCCTACCAATTTACTTACCTACCTACCTACCTACCTACCTACCTACCTACCTACCTACCTACCCTACCTACCTATCTACCTACCTAACTACCTACCTACCTACCTATCTATCTCTCTGTATACCTGGGTATAAAGTCCCCGCGGATCTGTTTAGGACCGACATTAATTTTACTGAGTAGAGTTCCTCTCTGTAGAGAATCCAGAACTTCGTAGAAAGTCAGGTTTGTTCCTGGAACAGATAAATAACTATTTTTTACAAAATCTTTACTGATAAAAAATGAATGATATGAAAGTATTGAATTTCAAAGTTGCCAAAGGTAAAAAATACCAAACAACAACTGTCTGAAACTGAATATGTACTATATGTCGATACGTGGCCCTCTAGACCTGTCCTAGTCGCAGCGCTTGGCCCAGAAATTGTCATTACCTAACCTCGCCAGAATTAATTTTGTAACTTTGAGATTTTGTTGCTTCCTGCAATTTTAATTGGGACAAATGTAATATCGGACTTTTGTAATTTGATCTTTTTTCCATTCCATAAAACACCCATGTCATAGATAAGAGATTAGAAAAGTTTTGTAAAAATAATCCCTCTGAAGGGGGATGATTCATCCCGTGCACTGTCTCGTTTTGCTTTCTATGGTCTTAATGTACTGTATTGGAAGTTATTATGGTTGCCCATAAATCGACCCAATAGTTCACGGTGATGTGATGGTCATATTTCACAATAGTTCATCCGCCTAACTCTGTTGCATAAAACGCGCTGGGTCAACCACATACTGGGACACTAGACAGGCTGGTACGAGTAAACACTGTACCATGTAATGGTTCTGATCATGCAACTTATGTGATTAGTCTTATCTTCGTAAAATAAATATTTGATTTGATGATGTATTTACCTAGAGAGTCTCTGAAAAGATCCATCTTGTTCTCCCCGTACTCCACCACGGACTGGACCACCTTGTACTTGGTCTCCAGCAACGTATTCGCGTTCTTCACCATCTCACCGAAGATCTAAAATGAGAAAATGTCTATAATTTTTATTTATTGAAGTCTTGAGTTTTAACTAGTTTATTAAATTAAAAATATGTTTATTGTTTAAGAAATGCTATTTTATTTACAAAAAATTGATTTTCATCCTGGACGAAATGAACTTATTTTCTCATCGCTGAAAGATTACCCAATCTTTATTATTTAAAACTCCAAAGTAAAGAGAATGTCGTTTTAAAATTTAAAGAGGGGTATGCCCATTACAACGGTATCCTTAACAGAATAGAGAAAATTATAGATATCATCTCACACATTCCTGATCAGAGGTAGCTTTTAAAGTAGAGTTGTGAATCAAAAACATCCTTTAAGAGAGGATCCACTTGAAATTACGTCTAGGGTCCCTTTAATAAGTTAAATGTACGCGGGTACCTTAGCAATCCCTTCACTGTTATTGTACGCGTTCATGATGAAGTTGATCTTAGCTGGGAGTAGTTCTCCTACTGTGAAATCCTGGGCCCGGAGTAGGAGTTCCTCACCTCCTGATCCAGATACAAAGGAGTTGATAAACTAAACAAAGGAGTTGATAAACTAAACAAAGGAGTTGATAAACTAAACAAAGGGGTTGATAAACTAAACAAAGAAGTTGATAAAATAAACAAAGGAGTTGATAAACTAAACAAAGGAGTTGATAAACCAAACAAAGGAGTTGATAAACTAAACAAAGAAGTTGATAAACCAAACAAAGGAGTTGATAAGCTATAAGCAACAAATGAATTATTAAACAAAACAAAGGAGTTGATAAACTAAACAAAGTAGTTCAGAAACTAGACAAAGGAATTGAGAAACTAAACAAAGGAGTTGATAAACTAAACAAATGAGATAAAAAAGGTGATAGCTGTCATCCTTTGATGTTACCTTTTTTATATATCTTTTAACTGTCATTTTTTGCTTTCACCTGTTCTAATATACATTCTGGCTGTTATTCGTTACAGTTGCCTTACATTTTGATATTTTTTGTTGTTAGCAGAGTTTTTTTTATATACCTCTTATAGCTGTCATCCTTTGATGTTACATTAGTTTTCTGATATACCTTCTAGCTGTTATCCTCTGCTGTCATCTGTGTTTTATAATTTACCTTCTAGCTGTTATCCTCTGCTGTCATCTGTGTTTTATAATTTACCTTCTAGCTGTCATCATTTGACGTTATCTGTGTTTTATGATATACCTTCTGTTACCTGAGTTATCTGGTATACCTCATAGCTGTCATCTACTGCTGCCATCTGTTTTGAAATAAGATCTAACTGTTATATTTACTGTTACCTGAGTTTTTATCGCTGTTAAGCTTTCAACAGCTCGGAAAAATTGTTCTGTTAGCGCAACAATTGTTGATAATCCTGGACAAACAGATTATATTAATTAAAAATTATTTTCTCAAAAAAAGTTTAATTTAAAAAATGGCATGATGTCATCAAGCCCGCAAGGTGCAGCTGATTATTTTCCACAAACTTGAATCGTCTGATTTCAGAGACCTAGGCAACTATACAACTAGACAACTAGACAACTAGATAACTAGACGACTAGACAGTTAGACAACTAGACAACTATAAAATTTATGTATTAAGGTTGTAAGACTGCGTCAACTTTAAATTGTCGTAACGCCTTGACCTTTGGTTTTATATCACATATTAACTATTGCTTTTTTGTAGCCTTAGAAATAAACTTTTCGTCGTTTGTTTCTAGCTTCCATGTTAAAGAAGTAATTGGCAAAATTGCATTCAATTTTTGCATGACGAGCTTGTACATTTGGTTTACAGTCTGATCTCTATATCTTTAAAAGCTGATTGTGAAAAACCTAAAATAGTTCAAACTTTGACAATTTGATCTAGCAGAATTCATAGTTTTAAATATCAAAATTCTATGCTATCAGGTCTCAAAGATAGAAGGATTTAAAATCAGAATTGGTTTCCATCCCCTCCCCCCTCATCCCTTTAAGAGTGTACTGAATATCACCGGAATGTAACAATGATAAAATATTGAAAATTCTAAGTGTGTTTTATGTCACATTGTCTCGTTTAAAAACAATAGTAAATGAATCTCGTATTTAACCATAAATGTGTTTATATTGTTGACACTTACAATACTAAAATATTCTAAGTACATCTTTACTATTTTTAAAAGCTTCCCTGCTTTGAATGCATTGTCTAGCGTAAAATAAATAATACATAAAAATAAAATGTCTGATTTTTTTCATGAAAAAATCTTTACAATATTCTTGTTATTTCATGCCTTATCATCTTGCTTTAAACCATTTCTTTGCCTGCAATCCTTCCTAGAATTCGGATATTATAAATAACAGTAAATAGAGGTTGAAAGAATATGAACGAATCAAGGAAAGGTTTATCTGGCACAATGTCCACGGTGGTTAATTTTATCGGGTTTATTAAAAAACCAAACATAAAATTAAAGTAAAAAGATACATCTAAGCATTGGAAGCAAATTCATCAACTGCAAGTTATAAACATCTTAACCACGGGCCATAAGTCCTTAGTCATATACTGATTTAGTCATTTTAGTACTTGACTCGGTTGTTTAGATATCCCTGAAACTCTGATTTTTTATCATACTAGGCTATAAGACAGATAATGAGGCTTAAGTTCAAAGGAATTGAGTCTTTGCCACAAACTCTGATTTTCTAATCTCTATGTATTTTCAACCCAATGTCGTAGGCCTTAGATATTTCAAACTATGAATTCTTCTAGATCAAAAATCCTAAGTTTGAAATATCAAAGGTTTTTGCCCTCAGGTTAACAAGATATAGGGACGGGAAAATCTGAGTTTGTGGCAAAGAATCAGTATTGTCAATTCCCACTATGTCAACTGGCCCAAATATTGTACGCTGAACAGTTGGGGCCACTTTTTAAATTTTTATTAGTTTAGATATTTTTTTGTTTGATTTTTAACACAAAGGAATTGAGTTTTCCCAACAAACTCTGATATTTTAAAATATCTAGCTTTGTAACCAAATGTCATAAACCTTAGATATTTCAAACTATATAACTCTGTTAGATTATGTAATCTAAGTTTGAAATATCAAAGGTTTACATCGCCAGGTTGCAAAGATAAAGAGACTGGAATATTCAAGTTTGTGGCAAAGACTCAATTCCTTTCGTTAGCTTTATATACATTTTTAAGATGCATATATATTACATAGTTTATACGATTTTTAGTACACAGTTTGGAAAAATTATGACCGAAAAGTATGAAAATCTAAGTGTGCTCATCTGGGATGTACGGTACATAGTGGGAATTGACTAAACTGATTCTTTGGTTAATTACCTTGTGCGAAATTATTGAAACGACTTTGTAACCTCAATAGCTTTTCAATAAAAGGAGTTTTGATTTAAAACATATTTCAATCTGAATGAATAGATGAATAAATGAATAGGTGAATAAATGAATAAATGATTAAATGATTAAATGAATAAATGAATAAATGAATAAATGAATAGATGAGTAAATGAATAAATGAATAAATGAATAAATAATTAAATGAATAAATGAATAAATGAATGAATAAACCTGTATGAAGAATGCTTGAAATAGAAATAAACTCTCCAAAAATTGCTGAACCCTCATCACCCTGGAAACATTTATTGATTAAATTTAAATTTTTTATTTATTTAAATAAATATTTTGACACTTAAAAATAATTTAGTCAAAGATTGATGTGTATTTACATAATTGATTGACATAGACATTTTAATTACCGACTAGGGGGGATGGGGTGAGGGGGTGGCAAAGCAATATATGTTATATGTACACATTTGTCAAATTGTAAAAATCAGCATTTAAAATCATAATGTTCTTCATAAATTTTCACTTAAAGCAGATAACCTGTTTAATGCATGCAAAAATAGTGTCAAAAATGTGAATTTAAACTGTTTTATTTACTTTGTCTTCTCTTTTCCAAAAAAAACCACACTTTGTGCTAGAAACAGGTCAAGTTCCAAAGCTAACGGAACTAATTTCCCCTGTATTATCATACAATAAATTATAATATCTTTCAAAATTTTATTGAATTAAGAAAAAATGAAATCTTGTTAATTTAAAAATTTCGACAAAATTGAATTTTCATCATGAATTAAATGATGTTTCGATCCCTCTTTCTGAATAAATATGTCTAATTTTGATCTATCTAACATAACAGTTTTTTATTCACAGATAGGTCAAGCATCATTCCCGAGGAATCTAGGCCAGTTTAAGCCTAATCAGGCCTTATTTAAGAGTATAAAAACTATAGTATCTACTTTATATTTGCAACTTTATAACCCCGGCCTGAACAAAACATTTTATATCCCTTGGTTAAAGTTAGTGGATACATAAAAAGTACAGGGTTACCAACAAAGAATACGACTGTAAAGACGATCTGAAACTCTAAAAATATGACGGTCCTGAGGTTAAATTAAATCTTCTGCCTTGAATAAAATCTTTTAATGGCTTATTTGATTATTTGTCAAAGAAAGTAACAAGTTTATATCATGAATATAAAGAAAGTAACAAGTTTATATCATGAATATAAAGAAAGTAACACGTTTATATCATGAATATAAAGACAGTAACAAGTTTATATCATGAATATAAAGAAAGTAACAAGTTTATATCATGAATATAAAGGCTCAGAAAGTACTAATTCTGNTGGGGGGGGGGGATGATTACACAGTTCAGTCCTTGATCCAGCAAGCTGTCACCCTCTCCGTATACTGTATGTATGACGTGGTAGCCAGAAAACTCTGGAATGATTGCTCAGGATTTGTAATTTGTAACTGATTCTAGATATTCACTCTTTAGAAATATATATTTTAAAACAATTACAATCTAGAATCATTCAAGATCAAGGAGTATGAAACAGAAGGGAGATATAACTGACGCGGCCCGCACAACCATATGATTATACATGCTTTGCAGACTCCATTTGTATGAGAAATATTTGTCTGATGTACAATTACCGCGTATAACCTATTCTGAATATTTCTTATACAAATGGAGTATGGACTGCAAAGCATGTATAATCATATGGTAGGTCGGACTGCGTCAGACGTATCTCCCTTCTATTTCATACTCCTTGTTCGAGATATTTTTCTATTTGAAGAAAAAATGAAGATGACAATCGGTCCACAGTTTTCTTCTGACCAATGTATTGATTACCTTATAGTTTAAAGCCTGCTTAGCAATATTTAACCATTCCTGCATCAGGGCAATATTCTGCTCTACAGAACTAGTAATCTCCCTAGATAGATAGAAAGAGATAGCTAGATACTATATATAGATAGCTGTATACTAGATAGCTAGATTAGATAGATATATAGATAGATAGACATACAGATAGATAAATAGATAGATAGATTGAAATTTTTCTTGCAGAACGAATTGGTATAAAAGAGAGGAGATTTATAAAAGAAAGATAGATATATAAATAGATAGATAGATAAACAAAGGTGTAATTTCATTAAAGGCTTTTCAATTTTTTCAAGTTGACGGAAAAACATTTTCCCAAACCTTACTTTTTTAAAATCTATATATATATATATATATATATGTATATAAGCTAGGGGCGGAGCACTATAAGGACTATATTTCATGAGCCAGAAAATATGGAACATCCTTATTAAATACTTTTCATTTACTTATTTAATAGAGAAAGCGAAACTAACAGAAATAAATGTATTTTTCAAATTTTTCTTTGACAAAATAAGAATCAAATTATATGGTGCGGACTACAGGGATAATAATGAAAGTGTACATGAGCTTCATGAACCATGAAGGGTGTGTACATGAACTACCCGTAGGGTGTGTAAATGAACTACATGAAGGGTGTGTAAATGAACTACGTGAAGGGTGTGTACATAAACTACATGAAGGGTGTGTACATGAACTACATGAAGGGTGTGTAAATTAACTACATGAAGGGTGTGTACATGAATTGCATGAAGGGTGTGTACATGAACTACGTAAGGGGTGTGTACATGAACTACATGAAGGGTGTGTACATTAACTACATGAGGGGTGTGTACATGAACGACATGAAGGGTGTGTACATGAACTACATGAAGGGTGTGTACATGAACTACATGAAGGGTGTGTACATGAACTACATGAAGGGTGTGTACATGAATTACATGAAGGGTGTGTACATAAACTACATGAAGGGTGTGTACATGCACTACATAAAGGGTGTGTACATAAACTACATGAAGGGTGTGTAAATGAACTACATGAAGGGTGTGTACATGAATTACATGAAGGGTGTGTACATGAACTACATGAAGGGTGTGCACATGAACTACATGAAGGGTGTGAACATAAATTACATTAAGGGTGTGTACATGAACTAAATGAAGGGTGTGTACATAAACTACATTAAGGGTGTGTACATGAACCACGTGAAGGGTGTGTACATGAACTATATGAAGGGTGTGTACATTAACTACATTAAGGATGTGTACTAATCTCTTATAGTTCTCCTCAAATCTTTTTAATTGAAATGTTTTGTTATCATTATTGAAGTAAGGTGGAAAAACTAATCAAAACAGCCAAGAGCTATTTTCCACCTAATTGCTTTTTACTGAAGTACTGTTAAAATAATTATTAATTTATATTTGTAAACTTGTTCTGTACACAGATACATGTATTTTAGCAATAAACATTATCTATCTATCTATCTACATGAATATGAAGGGTGTGTACATAAACCATAAGGGTATGTACGTTAACCTGAAGGATGTGTACATGAATCTGAAAGGTGTGTACATGAAGGATCTGTACATAAACTTTAATTGTACCATAGACAAAGATAGACACTTAGCTAACTTATCTCTGGAAACCTCGATTTCAAGAGGAAATGGGGTTCATACAGTACACATACTGCAGGTTTTATTTACAATTACTAAATACTAAATGATCTGAGAGATAGATAGATATTTCCCCCCTAAATGTAAACAAAAAAAGTAAAAAAAATAAAAAGGAAGCACTGGAAAAATACTTTTTTTTTAGAAATACGTACAGAAACAACCCCAATTTTTCTAAAATTGTACAGTTTTGCCAAGCTTGCCTGTTGTACTCAGTACACTGAACCTCTATCAATATCTACTCTGTGTATTGTACCTAAAGAATTGTTCTCTATCTTGAAGTACTTTAAGAATCTCCTTCTGTAGAATATCAAATACAGGGATCTCCATAATATGAACATTCTGTATACTCTCAACAGTACTGTTCTCTATACAATATTATTATAATTATTATAAGCTGTTTAGCAAATTTTTTGTATGCTTTCTTATAACTTGTTTTTTTAACCTTCCCCTCCAACCTATCCATCATCTCCTGGATAGCTCGCTCCATTCTCATCTTCTTCTCGTAGAGCCTCGAGACCAGGAGCATCTCGGACTCTATCTCCTGGCCGAGGACGTTCCTCTCGGAGCACTCCTCTACCTCCGTCTCGTCCTCGAATACGTCGCATTGTTCTAGCATAATTCCTGAATTAGTTCGATGAATGATAGACAAGTGTCCGAATTTAATGAATTTGAGCCGTGGCTTAAATCTGCCAAAAACTGGTTTTAATTGAGCGCCAGCTTAAATCTTGAAAAATTTAATACATTTTTAAGTGGAACCAACCATATTTGAGCAGCGGTTTAAATTTAAACCGCGGCTTAAATTCTTTAAATTCCATCTACGGTTGTTTATTAAGGTTAGATCACTCTGGAATCTGGATGCGCTCCAATCTAAGGAAAATGTCGACTCAGGGACACTCAAAATCCTTTATTGACGTAACTAATCTTTGGCTGTGGGGGAGAGGGGGTGCGGAAGGATTTTCTCCGCTTTTTACAGCTGACAAGCAGAGAAAATCCTTCCCCCCATCTTACCAACAAGGTTTTCACTTCATCTTTCGCAAAGGAATTGAGTCTTTGTCACAAACTCTGATTTTTAAATCCCTATATCTTAACAACCCAATGTTGTAGACCTTAGATATTTCAAACTATGACTTCTGTTATATCAAACAATCAAAGTTTGAAATATCAAAGGTCTACATAATTTGGTTGTAGATATATTGGTATTGGAAAATTGGGATTTGTTGCAAAGACTCAATTCCTTTACGTACATTCAGAGTGTCTAACTTTAATTAACAACCTTGATGATGGATCAGTTAACTCTTTCGCTCATTCAGAAGTTTAACTCTTTCGCTCATTCAGAAGTTAACTCTTTCGCTCATTCAGAAGTTTAACTCTTTCGCTCATTCAGAAGTTTAACTCTTTCGCTCATTCAGAAGTTTAACTCTTTCGCTCATTCAGAAGTTTAACTCTTTCGCTCAATCAAAAGTTTAACTCTTTCGCTCATTCAATAGTTTTCAGCTGTAGCAGTTTTTGCATTCTCGACTAATTTGTTTCATGAATTTTGCAAAATGTCGTGATTTTACACTGCATTTTACACTGCATTTTACACTGCATTTTACACTGCATTTTACACTGCATTTTTGTTGATTTACACAATATTCTTGTTTTCCCTGTAAAATCTTGCAATTAAGTGCAAGTGCAGTGTTGATTGCATTCGCGTACAAATGTTTTATGTGCAAATGTGATTTCAGAAAATTAAAATTTCACAAAGAATTTAATTTGGATTTAAGGTCAGCGGACCATTGGGGTAGGAAGGAGGGGGCCGGGGGGGGGGGGCCTTAGTAGGGTCTAGGGATAACATTTTTATAACATTCTTTACTCAATGTTTAGAGATGGCTAGTGTATTCTCGGCCACCTAGAGATTTAGTTTAGAGATGGCTAGTGTATTCTCGGCCACCTAGAGATTTAGTTTAACTATTCGTACCTTGATCAACCATACCTCTCACAAAAGATTGAAAACGATGTTTTTGTTCCTTGTAGGTGAAGCTTCAAATTTTTTTTTTTATTTAAACATTTTTGATATTTTTTTACACCAAAAATACTTTAAATCGGGATTTACTGGACCTGTAAATTTTTTTGCAAGTTACTAGCTGAAGGGCCCGGCATTGCCCGTACAAAAAAATTTGAAAAAAAATCTGAAATAAAATTTCGAATTATTTTTGCCTATATAACTTCCACCGGCCACCCATGAATGTCCACAAAAAAATTCAGCCCAATCGGTCCAGCCGTTTGGCCGGCTATACGCAACAAATTTATATACGAATGTCTTGTTTTATTATATAGATTGAGTATTGGACCAGAAATTCAATGAATTTGAGCTAGATCGCTGATCTGCTATATGGTTCAAATCCTGGATTACTGATTAAATCATTAAAAGTTAAACATTCATGAGGATTTGAATCGGCGATTCGGGATTTGAACCGGCGGTAGGTAATTAAGTGACCTCTTTAATTAACTAAATTCGGTACCAAAGCTGGAAAATTTTAAATAGACGGAATGAGATAAACAGGTATATGCTTGTTCTCAGCATTTTAAAAATAACGTAACAATGAAACCTAAATGTTTTCAACCCTAACTTAGTTCGAACTATTGAGAAGGAGAACAACGCAATTGGTTTTTATTACTATATGCTGCCGAATAAATTTGCCTTTCTTAACCTTGCGCCAAAAATCAAAACTAGAGGAGTTATGAGTTCACAAAGTCGTACCAGGAGCAGTGGCGTAAATAAGGGGGGTTATTGGGGTTATTTACCCCCCCCTAGAATCCTGGGGGTAAATACCCCCCCCTAGAATCCTGGGGGTAAATACCCCCCCCTAGAATCCAGGGGTTAAATACCCCCCCCTAGAATTCTAGGGGTAATTACCACTGAACAAATTTTCAGGCCCTGAATAGCAGGGGTTACTCCATTTGCTGCCTCTACAAGTAACAGTTCCAGTTGCCTTGACCCCTTCCCTTCAAAAAAAAATACATTCCCTATTGATTAGTCTGAACTTGTGTAAAGACGACT